GGGGGGGGGGGGTGTACCAGATGGGTGTGTCAGGGTCGAGCAGCATCTTGTTGTCCTTGTCTCGCACACCAGCGTAGAAGGCGTGACAACCTCGGTTCAGCTGCACCACACACCGCACACACGACACACAACACACCCATATGCACCCACACGCACTGCAGTGATGCGTGGATGCGCATGCCCACTGACCTTGACGATGCACTTCTCGCCCTCCTTCATGCTGTGGATGACCTGTACATGCATCACACACACAGTGAATGAATGAACGAATGCCATGCATTTGCCCCAACGGTCCAACACACTCACACACACTCTCACACACACACACACGCAGAACCGATCAATGAATCAATGAATCAAGGATGACCTTGTGGTCGAACACGGGCGTCTTGCCGCCCTCGCCGAGGCTCCAGGTCGCGGGCAGCATCTGCTTGCCCTGCCGCGACAGCTCCGGCTCCTCGCTGAAGCAACACGACCCTGAAACAAAGGCACATACACAGACACACACATGGCGACACACACACACACACACGCATTGCTCCCTCCCGCCCTCCTGGCGACTCACCCACCGTCCTGAGTGTAGGCCTCATACCACACCTTGACCTTGCTCCCCTCCGCCAGCCGACCGCTCCCGTCGCCCTCACGCCGCACGCGACCGCCGGCCGCATCGTCAGCCACTCCCTCACTCACCACGTGCTTGACCATCCCACGGCCGCTCGTGTCGTCCCACGCCTCGAGTTCATCGGTGCGGACGGCCGTAGTTTCGATGGCTGCGATGGTGGCCGAAAGGGTCTCGGGCGGAGGACGCTCTGGTGCTTGTGGTGCTGCTTCTGTTGCTGCTCCTGTTGCTGCTGCTGCTGGTGTGCCGTTGGTCATCATGGCGGCTGCATGCGGACCCGTTGTGTCTTCCGGGGTGCTTGTTGTTGCCGTGTCGGACATGGTACGTGTCAACGGTAGGGAAACACACTCGGAAAACGCTCAAAAGAACCCCTTTCTCCAGCCTCCGCGCCTTTGCGAGCTTATCCCCTCGAGTGTTTTGAGGACAATCTTACCCTTACGCACCGAAGGCAGATCTGCGCGCAAGAAGACCTTACGAGGATGACCCAACACAGTCTTCGGAACGTACGAGCCAGCAGATCAGCAGATGCAGACGCTTCGCACATGCGTGTACGGCTCTTTCAGTGTTTTGCTTCTCCGGGATGAACAGTGACAGCTTGACCACGCAATGCCCTGAGCGAGCCATCCTCAACCACTTCCAAAGGCCTGCCGCTATCCTCTGTGAGAGCCTTAAGCCGCTGCAGCAAGAAATCGCGGCGACCAAGGAGAAGACGGCTCAGCTCAAGACCAAACACCGCATCGCTGACCTAGCAGCAGCCTGCGGCAACAAGGAGCTGCTGTTGAATGTGGGCGGCAGTGAGTGGTGCGTCAAGCGGCAGCACATGACTCAAGGGGAGGGCGTCGAGAACACTCTGCTGGCCGTGCTCTTCTCTGGCAAGTTCGACAACCGACTCATCAGGGACGACAAGCAGCGGGTGTTCTTGGATGTCGACTCGGAGGCCTTCAAGACCGTCCACAAGGCCATCCTGGAGGCGAGAGCCGTCCAGCAGGCCGCTCGAAAGGGCGGGCGGGGGAGAAACGCGGTCTCTTGTCTGCTGACCGAGGCCGACACGCGTGGACACAAGGGTACGCACTCACACACACGCACACACACGCACGCACACACGTGGGCAGCCAGGAAAGTCAGTCGCCTGCAGTGTATGGCCTGAGTCTGTCTGTATGTGCGGGTATATACAGGATTGCATGACTTCTGGGTCAAGAAGCTTCTCGCGCCACACGATATCGAGGGCGATCGCACAAAGTGCCGCGAGAGGGAGCCATCAGTGACGGCAGAGGGCATCGGCGAGGAGGCGGGGGAGCTCGTCAGTGCGCTCAACGACGTCCTCAAGGCCTACAGTGACAAGAGGAGCAGCCTCGAGGCAGAGCTGCGGACCGAGAAGATGCGAGACGAGCATCTCAACACCGAATTAGAGGTGAGCGAGAGGCAATCACTCACCGGAGCTGCCCCATGGAATCCATGCCATGCATTCGCTTGTGGTCTGATTGTCAGCTTGTGAGCTCGTTCCTGGCGCCCCTGGATGGCGATGACCCCGTCCTCTCTGTCGATGTCTGCGGCCAGACCATTTCGACGTGTCAGTCGACAATCGACGCCATGACCGACGAGATGGCACTCAAGCGACGCAACACTCAATCACTGTGAGTGGCCTGACCGCACTGCAGAAGACGCAGCAAGCGAATTATACCCAGACAAATGCACCTAAGGTGTTGTGTGTCAATCACTCAGTTGGGGCAGCTCAGTCCACGACGTCCCCCCCGACCACATGAGCCGGCTCATCGACCACCACCGCCGCAAACGACACGGCGCCTCGCCCGCCGAGGCCAACGTGCCGCTGCAGATGGACAACGCCCGAGAGCAGGCGGCCTTCGATGTCAACGCGGCCATGTACGGCGTTGTCAAGACCGGCACACCACACGGCGCGCAGCCAACCAGGTACGCAGATGGAGAGAACTAGGAGGACCGGTGTTGCGCCATCGGTTGTCTTTCCTTTCGCTTTGCAGTAACGGTGGGTTCACTGTCACATCTGGCGTGCGCTATCGCATCGTCACGCCCGGCAAAGGTAACGTGCCGGGGGCCAACCAGACCGTCAAGTACGACGAGATTTGGTGGTCTGATGGGTTTGACGGCAACGACAAAGCCTACGATGAGCGTGGGAAGGTCCTTCGCGTGTCGGATTGGAATGGCTGGTGGCGTGAGGCAGTGCTGTCGATGCGCATTGGGGAGGTGAGGCAGATCATCTTGCCTGGTGCATCCGCCCGCTACGTTCAGCTGCGCTTGGTCAGCATAGTGTAGAGAGAATATGATGTGCCCGTCACCCACTCCCTGGGGGCTGTCTGCCTGGGTCCCTCGATGTTCAGTGAGGAGCGAATGGTTCTTACCTGGCGTGTACGACTGGCTTGTGTGTGTGTGTGTGTGTGTGTCGCTTTCCTACTTGACCCCCCACACACACACGTGTGTCCCGTGTGAGCGCGTGAACGTTGCGGCGTCCATATTTGTGTGGGCGGGCGTGTCGCCCCTCCTCTTGTCACCGATGCCCCGCCCCTTGGCTGTCTGGTCGTCTTTTTCGTGACCGTCGTGTGTGTTGTCTGAGTGGCTGTGTTGCCGCTCTCTGATACGAGGGATGAGCCGTGTCGGGCGGGGATGTGTAGATACGCATTTATCACAAGTGTATAGAGAGGAGAGGGGGCTGGAAGCGGCGGCGGGGTCGGTCAAGTAGCCTTGTGCAACATGTTTGTGTCCGTGTCGCCTCTCTCTTCGGGGTCCCCCGTTGCATCCCCGATTGTGTGCATTGCGTCGGTTTTGGTCGGAGGATTGAGTGTGTTGTAGCTTTTGTCAGCCGTGTCAGTATGTCGGTGTGTGTCACGATGCATCGTGCGACGTGTGAGGCGGTGGATTGATCTTTCTCACTGTTTTGATGGCTGTGTGCCGTTTCTCTCTCTGTGGTGACTGGGCTATCTGGCAGTCGGTGGGACGCTCACAGCCTCTTTTTGAGTGTCCATGTGTGTGCCCGGTGTGTGGTGTGAAGACAGAGGGCAGCGCAGAAAAGGCCTTTTTTCCCTTCCTGTCGCGCCTTCTGTGGTGCATCCATCCACCTATTGGCTGTCGGCGGTCAGTCGCTGAATGGAGCGAGATATGTGCCAGAGACTTTGCCTGGTGCTGCGTGTGTCTATTGATCCCATTCGTGTGTGGTGTGGATGGCAAAAGGAGATGTGTATGGGTTGACTCTCCCTTTCAATGTGTCGACTCTCTGCGTCTGTCTGTCTGTGTCTGTCTGTCTGTCTGTGTGAGAGAGACCTGATTGCGACGCGGCCGAGTTGGTGAACGAATTGACTTCGCAACGTATCTGGTCCGTTTGCCCTCCCCTCTCTCTTAAATGGGTCAATAGTCAGTGTCCCCTGACACGTTAAATGACACACTCGTCAGTCAGTCAGTCAGTCAATCAACCACATCACACAAGACACAGACACAGTTAGGTCAGAATAGACTCACATAACATTAAGGCAGGCATGCAGGCGCAGTCAGTGAGGTGACCACAGACCGGGTCAATGCGACAAATGGACACCACAGACACACACACGGGGCTGCATTGCTGGACAGTACAGGGATGACGACAGACAGACAGACAGACAGACAGACACACAGCCCGCCAGCCCGCCAGTCATCCAGTCACACAACCACACACACATACGCACTGCGCATCCGGACGTCGAGGTCCTTCCATCCACTTACAGAGAGCCTTGCTGGCACCGGCCCCACACGCATCCATCGGCAGCAGCGTCTCAAGAAGCCAACCGATAAACAAGCCACATCACCCCCTCTTGCTGTCGTGAAGCAAATCAGCACCGACAGCCTATGCGGCTTCGCGATGAAGGTCATGGTGGCCAGCCGTAGGCAGGGGCCGAGGTCCTGCCGCTGCTGGTGGTTACACCCAAAGCACTGCATCAGGCAGACAGACAGACAGACGGACGTGCGCGGATGTTTTCATGGCTGCATGCAGCGTTTTTCTAGACACCTCTTTTCTACGGGGTCGTTCGCAATCTCTATGCTGTCGGGGCACATGATCTGCTTGACGTGCTCCTCCCAATGCGGCGCCGCTGGCCGGCGGCCACTATGTAGAAACCGCCGCGTGCGTCGACGAAGGCCTCATGACCGAAGAACAGACCCACAAATGCCTCCCTGTCGGCCATCGCCTTCACAAGACCCTGCACACACACAACACACATCATGCTGTGAATGGTGCATCCTGGGATGCGCCCGGGATGCGCTCTTTCTGTCGTTTTCTCACCTGTGGCGGTGTTGTGGGTCTTTTCTCTTCACAAGGCAGGACAGATCTCTCGCGAAGGCGCTCTCCAGAATATGCGACACGGGTTCTCTCGCGAAGGCTGGACGATCTGCACGAGCTGTGATTACTGTCGAGGGGCATGGAGGAACCCATGTCGCATATTCTGGAGAGCGCCTTCGGTGGGAGCAGCAGTGGTTTCAGGAAGACCCTAGCGATCTGCGTGCTTGGTTGAGTGACCCCGAAGAGAGTCAAACAGGTGAGGACACCAAGGAAGGCGTCAGAGCCACCAGCCAGGCACAGATCTGAAGTCGGATGTCATCCATGTCGCCGCCCTGGCGTGTTGTTCTCGTGCAGTTTGTCCGAGCGTTGCGTAGCTGTAGAGGCTTCTGTGGTTCGAAGCAGACCCCTTTTTGACAGATCACTTGCTGCCACACGCAGAGGTCAGGAAATGCACACAGGGGCTGCAGCACTCTGTGTGTGCACGAGGGGAGATGCGAATTGATTGTTGTTCGACTGGTGTGGCTGTGCAGGCTGGAGTGCCGTCGTGGTGTAGGCAGACAGTCAAACAGGTGAGAGTGCTTCAGTGAATTAATTCAAAGAGGTCGAGCTGTTTGTGGGTGTGCTTGTGTGATGGGTGCAGGGTTGGTTGTTCTGATTGCTGTGACTCGTGCACTCGCCCACGATGGATGGCGCTGAAGCCGTAAGCAAAGACAGAGCGCATCAACATGATCACTTCACCCAATGAGCCTGCCTTTCGATACGTACACATTCTGTGTGCAGGCTGCTGCTGCCGCTGCCCCTATCGACGTGTCAGGTGACTGCACACCTGATGGGTGACTGGCTGCGTGAACGCAAGATTCCTTGTTTGCAGGCACGGACGAGTGGTCTTGAGGCGTCGAGCGCGTTCAGGGGACCGTCATCGACACGGAGCGGACCTGGCCGCAGCTCAAGAAGGCCAGCAAGGGAGCTGTGGACCAAGCACCTCCTGGGCTTCTCGATGTCAAGAACTTCGATGGAGAACACTACTACTGTCTGGCCCTGCCAATCAAGCTGGTGGGGAGTGTGGACATCTGTGTGTGCACCGGCATGATCAGTCGCCTGTGTGTATCACTGTGTGTGTGTGTGTGTGTGTGTCGTCAGCAGGACCGTCAGGGTGGCACTTCGGTGGATCACCTCACTGTGGTTGTGGCCAGAGAGCTTCGCGGCAAAGTGACCGACGAGCAGATGAAGATCATCATCTACGACATGCTGACGCGCGACGACACCGAGCTGATTAAGACTCAGGAGATCCTGGACGAGCATCACCCTCTCCACAGAAGTGCCTCAGAGCGAGCAAAGGACGGATACGCCTACATGGCTCTCGCGAAGCACGCCATACCAAGACACACAGCCATCGGTAGGCGGCTGACGTTGTGAGGAAGGGGTGTCGGTGCATAGGTGTGTGTCTTCTTTCTTAGGCCTGTACGGTGGATCGCTGGACCTGACGACAAGCAGGCAACGCAAGCCGGACAACTACAACCGATTCTACATTTATGACGTGGGTGCGTACCAGACAAAAAAGGGCAACAACGTGTTTGAGCTGGATGGCTTTAAATTCAGAAGTGCTACCGGTAAGTCGGAATAGGTCATTGGTAAGTACCACTGGTAAGTCAGTCAGTCAGGCAGACAGGCAGGCAGGATCTTCTTAAGATGAGTCGCTCAGTGTCTTCCTCTGTGTGTCTGTCTGATGTCTGCTTCGTTCAGGCATGATGAATGACCCGCGTGGCATGACGCGCATGAGGGGGAAGAAAGTTAACGTGGTGGCTCAGCCTTTTGAGCTGTTCGGCGTCCCCTGCATCAGCCACATCGCACTCAGGGACATCGACAAGCACGAGGTACTCACACACGACACCCACACACTGATCAAAAGACGCATGATCGATCGCCTAACAATCGCTTGGTCGCCTCACAGGAGGTTTTGGTGAACTACGGGGAGACCTTCTGGGGGAGTCATGACTGGAAGGCTCACCAGGAGAAGAAGGTAGGTTGGTCCACACCTATTACAAGCCCGCACATCGGTGTTTTGTCTTCTCTCTGACTCATTCAGTTGCGGCACGAAATGGAGGAGTTGCATGAGCTGAGAGAACGACTCCAGCTGCTATCTCGTGTCAAGCAAGAAAGAGATACTGCAAGTCGTGAGAGAGATGGTACGTGGTCTATTCCGGTGCCGACCGATCATTCTGTGAAATTGTCTGTGCGCAGATTTGGAACAGGGGGTGGCTGACAAGGAAGAGCAGATTGCGGCTCTGGAGCAGCAGCTGGAGCAGTTGGCGCAGCTGCAGCGCCCCGCCAAGAGGTCTATTGGCGTCGGCCCCGAAGGTACAGAGGCTCTCTGCAGTCAATTCATGTGTGGCTGCTGACGTCTCGTCTTTCGCACGTAGATGTGTTACCTGACGGTGATGCCACCACCTTCAAGAAACGACGTCAGGATGAGCACAATGGGCCACAGCCGCCACCACCACGAGCAGGAGAGGGAGGGGCCAGCAATGGCGAGAAGGGCAGCATTCCTATGGGCTTCATGCGCTATCCGAGTGGCGCGTACCACAAGGTGGTGCAGGAGAGCAGCGGCAGAGTGCCGACACCCAGCGACCGCGTCAGGTTCGACGAGATCGGGTGGGATGATGGATTCGACGGCCGGGACGAAGTATTCTATGGCCGTGGGCTGGTGGGTCGTGTGTCTGATTTGCCTGAGTGGGAGCGTGAGGCGGTGCGTCGATGAGGGAGGGCGAGACGAGGCAAATCATACAACCACCCGGAGTCTACGTTCAGCTGCGGTTGATCAGCATAGAGTAGGAGAGAGTACGTGTGGGCGGCTGTGAGTGTGTCACATACTCGTGTCTGTATGTGTGTCAGTGTGGCCAGTGGTGGCGGTGCGCCGGTGGGGACAGCAGCTGCCGGCACTGCTGGACCGCAGCCGAGCGGCACGCAGCAGCCGGCCATCAACACCACCGCAGCACATCCCCCCAGGTTCAAAGGGCAAAGGAGGACGGACGAAACAGACCTCGCCGTCTGTCATGTTTGGTCCCTTCCTTTGCAGCGACAGTGATGGCTTCACTGTGAACGCATTAGGCAATCTGTATCGCGTGGTGCAGGAGGGCACCGGCAGAGTGCCGACAGTCAACGACCAATACGTCGAGTACGACTGGCTTTCGTGGCGTGATGCATTCGACGGCCAGGACATAATCGACGATGCCCGTGGGGTGGTGGAGTGTGTGTCTGATCTGAATGTGTCTTATCGGTGTCAGTGGCTGAGTGAGGCATTGCTGTCAATGAGGGAGGGGGAAGTCAGGCAGATCAGACAACCAGGCTTTCCACCCGCTTACGTTCAGCTGCGGTTGGTTAGCATAGAGTAGGACAGAGTCCACACACACATGGGGGCGGCTGTGTGTGTCACACACCCATGTGTGTGGTCGGGGGCTCTTCACTTGTTGACTGGCTGCCTGTGTGCCTCGGCTGTTGAGCGAAGGAGGGAATGAGCTGTCTGTTTGTCGCAGCAGCTATCTGGGTGGACCATGGCGTGGATGTGTGTGTGCGTATCGCCTCTGTTTCCTTCACTGTCTGAGTGTCTGTCTGTCTGCCATGACTGAAGGAGAGGAGTGAGTGTTGTCTCTGTGTGCGTGTGCCGGCTGTCATGTGTGAAGACAGAGGGCAGCGCAGAAGAGGCCCTTTTGTCTGCGACAGAGGAAAGGCGCTCACCATCGTCACGTGTGTGGATGCATTGAGCAGACCATGACGCCCTTCTGCGTCCTCCAATCTGCCTGCCTGCCTGTCTGTCTGCCTTTGTGACCAGTGGACAACACATTTAGTTATGATTGATCGCCTCCTTGACAGTGAAATAGCGCGCCATTCAGTCTGTGCCACATCAATCACCCCATCCCAGCACACGAACCCCGCCCACAGCATCATGCTACATATAGCTGAGCGTCGATCGATCCGCCATTCGGTCGCCTGGTGTCACGACTGGTCAATAATGGAAGACCACACAGCCACCCATGGCACGGCAGCCGCACACCAGGAGTGGGTGTCCGGCTGCGATATCACGCGTGACGGCATGGCGGCCCATCAGTCAAAACCACTGGCACACAGCCGCGTCAAGCGACACATACATAGGTCACGCACTGCCCCCCCGCCCCCCGGCCCTACTTACTCGCCAAAAATCAATCATTCTGCCGACCTCTGTCTCTCCCTGTCTGTCTGTCTGTCTGTCTGATTCCTTTACTATGCACAGTGATCCGTCCGCAGGCTGAGCTGATGAGGAAAAATCTCTGTAGTCTTGCCCAAAGGCAACAGCAGCCGGGCTGGCGAAACACAAACAGACACACACACACACACACACGCTATGCTGGCATGAAAGAGAGAACACGAGAGCGATAGGCAGAAGCGATAAGCAAACATGCACACAGACGGAGGGAGGGGAGGGAGGTAGGGAAACAAAACAAGACAATGGATCATGGTCAAGAAGCAAGCAGGAAAACCGCTGCAGGCAGGCAGGTAGATAAGAGAGAGACGTGTCTGCGGCCCGGTCTCTTCTCTGTCCATCTGTATGTCTGTCTGTCTGTCTGTCTGTCTGCATGCCGGATGAAAAATCGCTCCATCCATCGGCCACAGAGAGATGCAAAGAACAGTCAGTCCCCCATCCGCCCACCCGCCCGTCGACTACACAGACCACTCGTACACTGCACACCACCCCAACATCCCTCGGGAGCACACAAAAACCCCAAAAATCACTCCACGTCACTCGCTCTGTCTGTCTTGGGTGGGCTAGATCACATGTAGCTGTAGAGGGTGTCTCGTGTGTAGCCCATATTGGCGAGCATCGGCTTGAGCGCCCGGCACATGGGCGGCGGGCCGGCCAGCACCAGCTGCACATCCTCACTCGGCGACCACAGATGGGACGACACAATCTGATAACACACGAGAGGAAAGACACAGACACACACAAGGGTGTGTTGATGGATTGATTTCTTGTGTGTGTCTGTGTGTATGGTTTGGCTCACGTCGCTCGTGACGAAGCCCACATGCCCCGTCCACTTGTCTGGTGGCCGCTCGAGCACATACACTACCTGACACACACAGACAGACAGATAAAGGAAAGGACACACAGGTGGCTATGGCTGTGGTCTGCCGCCTGTGTGTCCATTGCCGGCCCACCTTGATGTTCGAGTGTCTTTGTGTGATGGCGTCGAGGTCGGAGCGGTTGACCAGCTCGCTCTCGGTGGCTGCCGCATAGATCAGCCGGACCTGACGGCACACGAACACACACAAGGAGAGAGACAGAGAGAGATGCAGCTGGACAGGGAGAAAGACGTGTGTGGGCTGTTTACTTCGATGTCAGTGCGTCCCCAGAAGATGACTTCGTCGATGATCTGCAGCATGGGGGAGATGCCCGTGCCGCCGCCAATCAGACCCCAGCGCAGCTTGCCAGACTGACAAATGACGACCAACACACATCACATACACAGGGAGACACACGTGGATGATGCGTTGATATGGGTCTGTTTCTCCCTCTCTCCCTCCCTCTCTCCCTCCCTCTCTCTCTGTGACGGCAGGTACCCATTCGTCAGTGTGTGGGGGTGGTGTGGTGTGCGGCATGAAGTGGAATGAGGGGCCGCCCGCCGCACGGAAACCCAAATGCGTCCCAATGCCTACAGACAACGAGTCGAGGCCGCACGTGTGGGCGAATGCCGTGTGTGTGGTGTGTGTGGTGCGCTCTTACTCATGTGGTCGAGGTGGTGTGTGAATGACCGTGGGTCGGGATTGACCTTGAGCAGAATGTCAAGCGCACCAAACACCAGCGGACGGCTGCACACACACACCACACAGCCACACACACACACATCGACCTCTGTCTAACGACCATCCTTCGCAAGTGTGTGTCCACCTGAGGACAGAGAATGGTTTCTCAGCCGAGTGGTTTGAGCTCGGTGGCGGGCCGAGGTGCGGCTCGCTGTCGATGGCGACGTACTGACCCACAGACAGCCCCGTCGACTTGACACACAGACACACAGACACACAGAAAGATCGTCCAGCCATGCGTCGGCATGTCTGCTCATGTGTCACGTGTACCTGTCGCTCGCTGGGCAGGTCGAACCTGAAGATCTTCAGGCCGTTGCTGTTCACATCACGCACCTCACGCAGCCGCAACTGTGCGTAAGAGCCATGCTGGAAGGGCAGCGCCCCCTCGTAAGGCGGAATCAGTGCCGTGTTGGCTGCGCGACGACCCGCCAAGCGCCCAAACACCAGACACTCCAGCAAACCGTTACCTGCCACCACAACCGAATGCACAGAGCGGAGTGTGTGTGTGTGTGTGTGTTGCTCACCGGCCAGCCTGTTTGCGCCATGAACGCCGCCGACGATCTCGCCAGCGGCGAAAAGGCCGGGTATGGGCTGCAGGGATGTGCCTGATGCTGTGGATGTGTCGGGCAGTGAGCGCAGCACTGAGGTGGAGGGGGAGATACGCAGCTGAGAGACCAAAACACGACGAGAGACAAAGATGGTGTGTGGGGAGTGGGGAGGCTCTCTCTCTCTCTCTCTCTGTTTGTGTGTGTGCGGTGACGTACCCCGCCCATTGTGTAATGGACACATGGCGTGACGAAGGCCACGTAGAAGTGGTCATTCGCTGCACAACCACTCACACAACACAAGACACCGCCATCACCCTCCTCCATCGTCGTGAAAGCACCCACTCCTCCCTCACTCCGTACCGTCGAACACCCCGGCTCTCTCATGCCCCTCCAGCACTCTCCTCAGCTTGGCCCCCTCCCTCTGTCTCCCCGACCCATTGCCAATGAAGGCCGCCAGTGCGTCCACACCCACGCCCAGGTCGTGGATGAACCCCTTGCTGACGTAAAAATCAAACGACGCCCGCCCGAAGTCGTCGGCGATCTTCTCGTTCATCAGCATGATGGCCGCCTTGGGATTGCTGCTGGTGGTGGTGGATGTTGTTGTGTTTCGGAGGGAGGGAGGGGGGGCGAAGGGGGGGCATGTGCGAAAAATGGCCTGGCGCAAGACAGAGAGACACACAAACACACAAGAGAGAGATCTCCCACACACGCACACGAATGGAAGACAAGCGCGCACCTCGGTGACGACGTCGCGTCTCTCGAGCTCGTTGACGAATCTCTCCCCGGTCTTGGGGTTGAGCAGCATCGCCCCCAGGCCGCGCAGCAGCTCGGGCGCCAGGAACTTCTGAGGCGACGTGGGCGACGACGGGTGGAGGAACCCGGTAGGGTGCACCTGACACACACACACCGCAGCCACAGAGCACCACATGGTGGATGTGTGTGGCGGGGGGGGAGCAACATACACACCTACCTGGACTTTGTCCATATCGATGAGGGATGCCCCCAGGCTGCGGGCCATCTTGATGCCGTCGCCCGTGGCGAAGGTGCCGCTGGTGGCCGGCAGACCGACCGACGAGGGGGAAAACTCTGACAGCAACGACCTGAGACACACACACACACACACGGGGAATCTCTCTGTATGTGGATCTCTCTCTTTCCCCCTGTGTCTTTGAGTGACTGACCCCTGTCCATGGTCGTTAGCGTATCCGCCCGTGGCGAGCACCACGCTGCTGACACGCACCTCACTCTCAACGCCGTCAAAGGTGTACCGCACGCCACTGATCACATCCTGCGTCGGCACTGAAGCTGAGATTCACAGAGAGGTAGAGAGAGAGAGATGGTGACGACACGCGCATCTCGTTGTGCGTGTGTGGGCTTTTTACTTGGTGCATCGTTGAGCAGCGCCACTGTCTGCGTGAGAATGTCTGTCACTCTCGCGCCCGTCATGATGCGCACGTTGGCGGAGAGATCGTTGGTCAGAATGGACCGAAGCTGGGTCACTATCGTGAGGCCTGACGGACAGACAGAGAAGCCACGGATCAGTGTGCCAACAAAAACACCTTAGATAAGGTTGTGTGTGGTTGTGCGGTGTACCTACCGATGGGCATGGGTTTGCCGCCCTTGTCTGCCTTGATTCGGTGTGTGCGTGGTGTGGTGTGGCCGCCCAGCTGCTCCACATCGTTGAGGGGAACGTTGTGCGACATCAGGAAATCTATCGCTGACGAACTGGACCAATCCAATCACACACACACACACACAGAGAGAGAGAGAGAGAGGTGTGCCAATGATTGCGTGTGTGTGAGTACCTGTAGCTGACGAGCGTCTTGACCAGTGCCATGTCGGCCTTGTGGTCGCCCGCGTTGACAATGTCGCTCTCAAAGTGGGCCAGACTGTCACTCACACCCTGACGCACCTGCACCCATCACACACATCATCCATCCATCCATCCAACAGCACAGGGCACACAGAATGAATGAGTTTTTCGGCGTACCTGTACGTTCGTCCCGGCCCCGTTGATGCCCGATGTGGCCTTAGCAGAGTTGCCGCCCACCCTCTCCTTCTCCATCAGCCACACTACCGCACCGCCACTCGCCGCGTCAATCGCTGAACACACACACACGCACCCTCATGCGCCACACGCAGGCGCGCTGATAGAGACGCGCACACTGACCTGCGGACAGTCCTGCCAGCCCGCTGCCGACCACCACCACATCCGGGCGGCCAACCGCATCAGCTGTCGTCGCATTGACAGCAGCAGGGGCACTCTCCAGCCTTTGCTTGGACCGCAGCCGGAGGCATGAGACCTCCCGGACATGGCTCACACACAGCAGCAGGGCGCACAGCAGCAGTGAGACGCTGCTGCTGCTGCTGGGGTTGATGCGCATGGCTGCAGGAGATGGTCAGTGAGTTGGGATCGTTGAAGTAAGTGGCTGGCACTGGCTGCCTTGAGAGCGATGCAGAGCGTATGGGCGGCCGGGGCACTGCTGAGACTCGCCGCCGTCGACACCAAGCGCAACCTCCTCCTCGCGCAGATCTGCCTTCGTTGTGTTAGGGTAAGGCTGTCCTCAAAACACTTCGAGCTGACGCAGCGGGAAAAAGGATGAATGTCGAGAAGGGCGGCAGCGGATGGTGCAACACGTATGTGTCCGAGTGAAAGTACTCACTCGGCCATTCATGACCCATCACCTTCTTGAAGGCGCGCGGTCGGATGAATGAAGGCAGATCTTCATCTGCGGCTCTTGCTGATCACCTCACGGCTCATTGCTTCGGTCAGTGCCCTCCCATCGTTCATCATCCCAACACCTCCGCTGCGGCACGGCAAGAGCCGCCCCTCGGCACGACTCGGAGCACAGCAATCACGGCTGCACTCTCTCAGACCGTCGTCCTTCACGCAGCCCCGGTCGGTTTATGTGCACATCCCCTTCTGCCGTCGACGGTGCTACTACTGCGACTTCCCCATTTCTGTGGTGGGCGACTCGGCCAGGGCACAGCAGCAGCAGGCGGAGAGCTACTATGGGGTGCTCAAGAGAGAGATGGAGGCGACCGCATCGACATGGTGTCCGCCGTCGTCGGCCGACAGTGGTGGACAGCGCGTGATGGCTGAGCCGTCGATTGTGATGGATTCGGTGTGGAGGGACGAGTGGGAGAGAGCCGAGGCAAGTGGTGAGAGGGGCGTGTCGACTGTCTTCTTTGGGGGCGGGACGCCATCGCTAATGCCGCCAGAGGTCATCGGCCGGATCGTCGACGACATTGAGCGACTGTTCGGTGAGCATACACACAAACAAACAGACACACACATACACACACCCGCTCCATCCATCCGTCCCCTGTTTCTCAGGCCCATTGAGTGCCGGATGTGAGATATCCATGGAGATGGACCCAGGCTCATTCGACCAAGACAAGCTGCGGTCCTTCCTCACCCACGGCCGCGTCAACAGGGTGTCCCTGGGCGTGCAGAGCTTCAGCGACAAGACGCTGCAGCGGATAGGCCGGGCGCACAGCGCGCGTGATGTGTACAGGGCGATAGAGGACCTCCGTGCCTGCGGTGTCGACAACTGGTCTGTGGATCTGATTGGCGGGCTGCCTGAGCTGACTGTGGATGAGTGGGAGGGGACGGTCAGGGAGGCCATCGATGTGGGGGCGCCTCACCTCTCTGTGTACGATCTACAGGTAGGTGTGGGCACACGGCCATGCTCGCATGACGTGGGCTGCTTATCGGCCATGTGTGTGCGTGTGTGTGTGTGTGTGTGTCTGTCAGGTGGAGGAAGGTTCGTTCTTCGGTCGTTGGGGCTATCAGGCGGGCGAATCGCCTTTGCCCACAGAGGATGCGAGCGCCCAAATGTACCGCAGCGCATCCAGGTGAGAGAAAAGACGGCGATAGAGCACTGGGTCTTCTTGTTTCCATGCCGTCGTGTGTGTGGGTGGGCGTATTTGTGTTGTGTGCAGGTTGTTGCGTGACGCGGGGTATGTCCACTACGAGGTGTCTAACTACGCGAAGGAGGGACATCAGTGTCGTCACAACATGGCCTACTGGGAGAATGTGCCCTTCTTTGCATTCGGTACACACACACACACACACACGCGCGCGCGCACGAGTGCGCTTCCATCCATCCGTTCCTCCATTCTTCGTCTCAGGCAATGGCGCTGCATCCTTCACTTCTCTCTATCGATTCTCACGGTGAGTTTGGCTGACCAAACACACCTTGACGAGGCAATGGTGAGGTCGGTACCTACCTCTCTCTCTCTCTCTTTCTGTGTGTGTGTGTGTGTGTGTGTGTGTGCAGCCCCCGTCGGTTGCAAGACTACCGTGTGTGGGTGGATCGGCTGGAGAGGGAGGGCTTCCTGCACGCTGCGGGCTTCCACTCACTCGCAGAGCTGTGGGACGAAAGCATTCACAGATACGAGAAGACACATGAGGGTACACATGTGGACGACGGCCAACACGCCCAAAGTGAGACAGACCCTCTCCAAACACATAACACAACCACATGTGCGACCGCACCATTCTCTCTCTGTGTGTGCAGTGTACAGTGAGTTGCGTCGCGAGTGTCTGTCCGACGGGCTGATGCTCGGCCTCCGTCTCAAGAGCGGCATCAGCCTCTCCCGCATAGCCAAGGCACATGGCACCGACGCTGTCAATGGCATCCTGCGGGCCATCGACCAGTCGTCGGCCATCGAGCGGGGCCTGGTGCGGGTCTTTTGTAGGCCCCGCTGTGACAGTGACAGTGGGGATGAAAAGGATCTGACCAGCGGCGGTGATGCATTGCGTGTGATGGGCGAGGGGGGCAGGGAGGTGGGTGTGTGTCTGACCGATCCTGAGGGGTTTCTGTTGTCGAATGACGTCATTTCGTCCATGTTTGCCTGCATAGACCAGATGGGCTGGGGACAACTCAGGACCACACAGCCAGCCTTATGAATTCCTGCATTTACGAAGCTTTTTGGATCGCGCTCTTTTTTGGAATTGCAATGGCGGCTCATAGTGGCGGTGGCGGTGGCGAGGCTAAGGAGGGGTGGAAGGATGGCTACGGTGACATAGCGGACATCATTGACGTGAGCGACGACCTCGACGGTCATGATGCAGATGACGAGGGCAGCAACGTTGACGACCAAGAGCAGCACGAACAGGTGTGCACATGTAGTATCAGACTGATGCATCAGTCTACCTCAAGCGGAAGGGCTTAGCGGGTCGAATGCACCTCATGGCTTGATGCCTCCTGCCGTTCCCGTAGGCGGAATCTTGCAGTGTTGATGAGGACGATGAGGACGATGATCTCCCGCTGCCGCTGGACCTCGACGCACAGCCCGCTGCTGCTGCTGCTGCTGCTGCGACGGCGGCGGCGGCAGCGGGCCGTGGCGATGGCGGAGGCAAGAAGGGCGGCAAGAGAAAGAGAAAGAAACTCATACTCATAGGTATGCAATGGGTACACTGCACAGAAGCCGTGTGTGGATGCATCTGTGTGCTGCATTGTGTTGTGTTGTGTTGTGTTGTGTTGTGTGTTGGTTCAGAGCGCCATCCCCGGCATCTGCGTCGTCTTGGCGAGGCCATCGAGCGCACCGCCATCAAGCTCATCCAGCCCTTCCCGCCCCGGCCGCAAGCTGCTCGTACTCGACATCGACCGCACACTATACGATCACAAGTACAGTACACAGCAACCATCGATACGTCAACACCCATTCATGCGGGAATGTGTGTGCGTGTGGATGGATGGATGGATTGATGTGCGCAGGAGCCGTGATCTGCAGCGGGCGAAGCGTCCCGGTCTGGACAGCTTCATGGAGGCCGTGTACCCCCACTATGACATCGCAGTGTGGAGCGCCACCAACTGGACGGCCCTCGAGGCCAAGTGCACTGAGATGGGACTACTCAACTCGCTACCCAAATTTGCCGTCAGCTTCGTGCTCGACAAGTATGCAGCCGACGACACACGTGCCTCTCCCACACCCATACCGTACACACCGCACTCGGGGGAGCAAATACTCTTCCCCTGTCTCTCTGTCTGTCTGTCTGTCTGTCTGTCTCTGTGTGTGGTTCTCTAGGTCTGCCATGTTTGACGTGACCACCAAACGACCAGCCAAGAAGGTGCCAAGCAATGGCGGCAGTGCGGGCAGCAGCAGCAGCAGCAGCAGCACGAAGGACCGCGTCAAGAAGGAACCCAGCAAGAACAAGAAGGGGGCGGGGAAGGGCGGCAGCAGCAGCCGCACGCACTCGGTCAAGGCGCTGCAGGTGATATGGGGCAAGTTCCCGGGCGTGTGGGGGCCGCACAACACACTCCACGTGGACGACCTCCGCCACAACTTCGCCATGAACCGTAAAAATGGCATCAAAATATCGCAGTACAAGTAAGCGGAAGACACGCAGCTTCCCACACACACACAGATCGACGTGTTGATGTGTCCTTCCCCTCTCTGTGTGTCGATCTCTCTCTCTCTCTCTCTCTGTGTGTGTGTGTGTGTGTGTGTGTGTACCAAAGGGTGATTGAGTCGTCGAGCAAGTTTGACAGAGAGCTGCATCATCTGTCGGTGTATCTGATCCACCTGGCGTCGCTGCCCGACGTGACGACTCTCGACCACAAGCAGTGGCGGCAGGTGGCAGCGCGGCTCCAAGATGCCTAGGCACTGTCGGCCACCAGTGGGCAGTGAGCGATGGATGCGTGGGCAGCAAGGAGAAGAGGCGGGAACAAGAGAGAGACGGAGAGAGAGAGGGGGGGGATAATCATGTGTGTGCGGGCCGGCGCCTTTCATCTGTCGCTTCCTTCGATTCGGGGAGCATGTGCGCGGACCGGTTACGTGTTTGTTGACCGCTGAGAGATAAGATGTACAGCCGAACGAGTTTCCTCGAAGGGTCCAGCATCATCGCTGACGATCCTGGCCGACGTGTTACAGTAATTATTACTTCCCCCGCGTGTGTTTACATCCCGCATCGCGACCCCCCGAGTTTTGAATACTTGGCATATCTCCCAGCTTCTTTGTGCTCGCGATGATGTCCAGTGCTCTGGTGCTCGTGCTGTGTGCGCTCGCCGCCTTCACAGCCACGGCCATCCAGCGATACGGTAAGTGCCATCTGCACAACGGATGCAGGGAGGCACGGAGAGAGCTCGGCAGCAAGTATCTAGCCAGACAAGCTGCAGGGAAAAGGCGGGGGAGAAAATGTATCCGTATAGCGGCACGAATCTGCCCAGATCTGCCAGATCTATGACTTTCGCTCCACAAGCGTTCTTTGTGTACCTTTGTGGTGTGCAGGGAACGGCCCGGCTTCCTTCGCGGAGTCTTCTAAGGCCATCGAAGGCGTTGGCAGCTACCAAGGTCAGCACAAGGCTGACAACAAGTGCTAGCAGCAGCGGGCTCACTCTGTGTGGCGTGTGTGTTGTGTTGGTGTTGGTGTGTTCAGGTGCTGTGTCGGCTATGGCGTTGTCGGCGCTGCGGCAGCAGATCCAGACCGGCATGGCCCTCTCCCAGTCGGCCAACAAACTCACCAGTGCCGCCATCGAGATGACCGCCGAGGCGCTCAGGGCCATCGACAGGGCAGAGGATGCCATTAGCATGGGCATCACACGAGGCCGCAAGGGTACACACAGGCAGGCACTCACAGCTGATATGGAAAAAGCAGAGATCTGTCTGCCTTGTGGATGCCTTGTGGATGGATGGATGGATGTAGCTTACGGCGGTGCTGACGAGCCCCAGCCCTATGGCGGCGGCAAGACCTTCAGCGGCATTTCGGATAGCATGTATGGACGCGACAAGTACATGACAGGGTATTCGGCGAAAGACTACAACAAAAAAGTCGGAGATTGGGCCAAAAGCAAAGGCAGCAACTTCGACAAGTACTATGGCCACCTCGTCGACAGCACGGGGCAGCCCAAGAACAAGGCCGCCGCGTACCAACTCCAGAACCAGGCCGCCTACGACGCGAGGGTACGGTTGGACAGGAGGGTGAATCGATATGTCCATCACACGTGTGTGTGTGCGTGCGTGTGTGTTGTTCCTTTTTAGAAGAAGGGAGGAAGGTGGTAGGAGGAGCTCCTGCCATCCATCCCTTGCCATACTTGTTGTTAGACCTCGTTTAGAATAGCTGGGGGAGAGAGGGGGAGGGGCGGGCTGGAGAGAGAGAGAGAGAGAGAGAGAGAGAGAC